GCCGCGGTGAAGAGTTTCGGGGAGATGACATCACCCTGTCTTACACCGCGCTGCAGATGGATTGGTTTTGTGTCCTCACTCTGTACTCGGACTGACATGGTGGCGTTTTCGTACAAGCACCTTAGCGCTTCGATGTACCGGTAGTCAATTCGGCACCTCTGGAGTGACTGCAGTACCGCCCAGGTCTCGACCGAATCGAAGGCTTTCTCGTAGTCCACAAACGCTAAGCATAGTGGCAGGTTATACTCCTCGGTCTTCTGTATTACCTGCCGCAGCGTATGTATGTGGTCTACGGTACTGAAGCCTTTACGGAAACCGGCTTGTTCGGGAGGCTGGAAGTCGTCGAATCTGCGAGCGAGACGGTTCGTGATGACCCTTGAGAACAACTTGTAGACATGGCTCAGAAGTGAGATGGGCCTGTAGTTCTTCAGGAGGGCTTTATCGCCCTTTTTGAAGAACAGTACCACCACACTTCTGCTCCATGCCTTTGGCGTATGTCCCTCGAGAATGACGGAATTAAAGAGCTTCTGAAGAACCTTCAGTGCCGGCTCTCCAGCTGCCCTCAATAGCTCTGCGGTGATTCCGTCATTCCCCGGCGCCTTGTTGTTCTTAAGTTGTTTCAGGGCCATACTAATCTCGTCGAGACTGACGTCCGGGATGTCCTCGGTGTAATGTCGGGTTAATCTGGCTCTGGGATCTTCGACCAGATCTGTGACAGGTTCCTGCGTTGCGTAGAGCTGCCCATAGAACCTCTCAACCTCACTCAAGAGTTCAGGTCTGGAGGACACAACTCTACCCTCTCCAGTCTTCAGCTTCAACAGTTGACTTTGCCCAATAGACAGATCCCGCGAAAACACTTTGGAGCCCTGATTTCGCTCGATAGCCAATTTAACCCGATTGGTATTAAATCGGCGTATGTCGCGCTTTATGCTCGTGGAGATCTGTCTATTTAGCCGTCGATACCGTTCAGCATCATCTGAAGAGTGCAGTTTCATGTCTCGCCTTTCCTTCATGAGTTCGAGAGTGTGGTCTGAGAGTTTCTTGGGCGAGCTTTTACGGTGAGTCTTGTAGAACTTAGAACCCACCGACTGCAAAGCATGCACGAACCCGTCATTCAGATCGTCCACGCTACTTCCCAGGCATTCAAACTGGTTTCGGAGTTCGAGCTGAAAGGTTTCGGCATTGTGGATATGCACGGGCGCTGGCCGGAGTGTAGACCCCATCAGTCGACATCGTTCGAGCTTGACGTCGATATTCAATGTGCCTCGGACAATTCGGTGATCGCTCCCGGTTTTAACCGCGTTGATCACTGAGACATCATTGAATATTTGCTTCTTTGTCGACATGATGAAGTCAATCTCATTTTTGGTAGCACCGTCCGGACTCATCCAGGTCCACTTCCTGTGCCCTTGCTTCTTGAAGAAGGAGTTCATCATGTAAAGTCCTTCCTTCTCCATAAAGCCGGCCAGTAAGTGTCCCCGGTGGTTCCGCCGTCCATATCCAAACTTTCCCATTCGTAGCTCGTCTCCGTCCCGAATGCCCAGTTTCGCGTTGAAGTCCCCCATGACAACGGTGTAGAAGGTTTTGGAACTATGCATGGCTCGTGAGATATCCTCATACATAGTTTCCACCTCATCGTCGGAGTGTGTCGAGGTCGGTGCGTAGACCTGTATAACCTTCAGCGAATACCGTTTGGATATTCTGAGTATCAGGTACGCAACCCTCGTCGACACACTCTCGATCTTCACCACATTGTTCACGAGGGACTTGTGGACGATAAACCCGACACCACCCTGCGACTGTTGGTCGCCCTCCCGGAAGAAGAACAAGTTGCCGGACTTGAGGATTATCGTTTCCTCCCCCTCTCTTCGGACTTCGGATAATCCTATGATGTCCCAACGCAACCTGCTCAATTCTTCTTCCAGCTCCGCGATCCTCTCGTCCGTCCGCAGTGTGCGCGTGTTCAGTGTTGCCAGGGCCAAAGGTCGTCGTGTGTGGTAGCCGTATCCTAACCGGGGATTCTTAGCACCCCCTGCCCCGCCGTTACCCTGGCCGCTACCGTAACCAGGAACGGCGGGGCCGCCGGGTACTGGGGGCCGTACTTTTCTAGTGGCCATCATTTGGGGGGGATTTGCCATAATCGCCACGCTTGGCAGGCGGGTTGGCGATCGCAGACTTCTCCACCGTTTTTAAAAAGGGACGCTGCTGCCCGTCCTCCGGTGGTCTGGACGCAGTTTAACGACGTACCCCGTCTTTTATTACCATTTAACACTTATTAATCTACAAAAAATCACTTAATAATTACGTGAAGACCGTAATTTATCACTTGGAAGAAAACAAAAGCTATTGGTGGAAACGTACCTTAATTTGTTAATGTAACCTTATTTTAGAGTCATAAACAATAACGTCACTATGCCGCGTCTATCGAGTACACTGCCAATATTGAAACTAAGGAAAGGTAGGTCGACTTGGTGATTAACAGCATACTAATTAAATTTACCGACAGGAACGTACGAGTAATTGATGATCGTGATAATATTTTTCAAATAAGAACGTGTCTATACAATTTGCTAGTTTGTACTGAAATGTAAAACTCAATGCCAAATAGTGATTCGCTTCGTGATTGCAGTGTTGCAATGACGAGTGTTAGTCAAGTTTCCATGGCTTCAGCGATCAGTTCAATAGCGGGCACGAGATTATTACCCGCCGTTTTATATGACTGCTGATAAGATAGTAATATCATATAGGTAATAATTACATTCACCAGGTATTTAACTGAAGTATCTATGTATGGTAAGCAATATGTGTATTTTTATAGTTTATTACACTTTCTTAGATTATACTTTATTCTTTAAGAATTGAGGATATCAACATACCTAATACACGTGGAATAAAAAAATCGAAATATAACCGATCAATGTAATAGATTTTCAACCTCATTTCAATCCATACATCAATTTCAGTATCATTTACAAATACAAAATGAATGATCTCCGTGTACATGCTAACACAATGAAACTGTTCAGTCCTGTCGATAAGTATAGCGCCAAACAGTTAAACACCCATACATTTCAATGAACAATACACTTTTATTGTTTGTAGAAGGCCCTACGCGTAACACTTTTTTTTTTCAATCTTTAAACAAAACTAATCTGTTCTATGCGGTGTTTTCAAATTATCACTATTTGGGGTGTTTTGAGAACCGAGGAACGAGGACGTCGAAATATCTGCTTTTCTTCTGGTGTGGATGTCCATGGGCGACGATGCGCATATCGGTGTCCTCCCCGCTCATTTGCCTCCTTAAAAAATAGCATTTTTATCATTTAGCAGCAAAAAACTGATTTTGTTTTCATAAACATTGATGTAATATTTGATTTTCCTGTACATTTTTCCCTAGAGACCGTGCATACAATTGTTTGATTAGAGAGTTGTATCATATACGAGCGGCGCTAGGAATTCCTTCGTTAACTGGTGTTGACACACCAAGATTAGTTTAGTTAACCTATTTTCGTCGCATTATGTCGTACATCGTCGCAGGTAAACCAACCGTGACTAATTTGACGAGGGTATTAAATTAAATAATTGCCAATTGGCAACATAACAATAAAATTATTGTAGACTATTTGAACTATTGAAACTTTGCGTCAACATTGATCAAAGATTTCAGTATAATTTTACTCCAAAAGAGCCTTAAATCTTTTTTAAATTCCAATCGTTTAACGCTTTTTCTTTGCAAATCTAATAAACTTAAATAATTAGTACAATTGTATACTCGTAAATTGTTTTTAAGCGATATTTATCAGAGTATTATAGCAGTTTTTATTGGTGGATGTATAACACTTTATGATAGTTATGCAATATCGGCTTTACGATAAACCTTGAGGTATGAAGTTAACGAAATAACCATGTTTCGAAAGATCCATTGCGATAATTTGCCTTATCAGCACTTAACTAAAGCACGCAAATTAAAACGACAGTTTTGACTAATCAAGATAAGGGGAAGAACGTATCAATCTACATTAGCATTGAAAAAAATATTTGTATTGTTTTACGAAAACATACGATAATACAAATTTTCCTCTTTATAATATTAGTAAAGATGAAAGATGTAATTACTTTGCTAAATTCTGGTTGTTTATTTTAAGGTATCATATGATTATTAGAATGCTTGCAAACATGCAACCTATCATTGTTTTTGTTTCAAAACCTTGTTGTTATGGTAATTAGTTTTACGTATTTTCTCATTATTTAACCTTCACAAAGGCCTTCGTTTTCCTAAAATAGCGCAAGCGACGTTACTTCGCTAACAATACGACATAATTAACAATTATACTAATGCTACTAATATGTATTGTTATTTAATTTATTGCCTACATATTTGGGATTTGTTACTTTTTAATAAAGGATATCTCAACTTTTAATGTAGAATATGCGTTTTCCTCGTATTAAAGTATGAAGTAACCGTTAAGTGTCTGTATCTAGACAACATGATGTCTTTAATTTTCATAGTATTTTTGAGTTTACTAGAAACAATAAACTCAAAGGCCGGCAACGCATTTGTAGTTCCTCTGGTGTTGCGGATGTCCATGGGCGTCATTGACCACCTCGATTCTCGGCTCTCGTTAGTCCCCTTTTATTATAAAAAAGAAACTACACGATTTTTTACATGAGGCACATACAGGAAATGATTCGTGGCATTAATTGATAAAACTAGATATTGATTGAAGATATCGAAAGATAACTATCGCTGCTTCCATCAGCTGTTTAGGAGATACCTTCTAACAAACAACCATTCATATAACCTTTCGCATTTACTATATTAGTAATCTAATTATTGGTTGTATTTTATCATAACTGCCAGCCTCTCATAATTAGCGGAGTAAAACAAGTAGAATTTCTTTTGTAGACATTATTAATTTATTTAATTTTTATACACAAAGATAATTTAACATATCTATAAAGTTCTGTTTAAATCATTAGGTTACCTCGCTGCGTTTACACTTTGCAGAAGTTACACTGTTTTCTCAATACTCTTACTATATTTGGAATTAACATGGACACATTTTCCTTAAAATAACTTTAATACTGTGCAAGCCAAATTTTAGATTTATATTTAAAAATGACAATTTAGTACATAGAGAAAATACATTTTCTAATTTACATCCTGACTTATTCTCTCTTCTTCTCAATTAAAGAGATGTCTATATCAATTAGATGGCCGAAATTTATATGAAAATGTCACAATTTCACACAAGCAAATGCTAAATTGTTCGAAATTTTCTACTGATATAATTTGTTGATCGCTGAATAGATTTAAATAAATATATATTTCTACGTTAATCAATATTTAATTGTCTAAAAGATCCCTTAGCACCAGCCTCGTCAGACGGGAGAGCACCAAATCGTCGGGTCTCGTCTGTGCCGAGCTTCTCTTCAACCTCCATCCAAGACTTGTACTCTTTCATCTTTGCAGCCCAATATTCTGAAAATAAAAAAAAGTAAAAATATTTTTGTTACGTTATTTCGAGAAACTAGATTTTTTGTTGCAGTATAAAGTATATTATTGAAATCCGGTAGTGTTCTCGTTTGTTACCTACTACCAAAAAATAAAATAAAAACAATGAATCTTGTATATTTGTCTCCGTCCTAAACTGTTATTAAAACTTAATGAAGTTTAGGATGTTAGTGAGAATTAGAGGGATGTCAATATGTTTGTCGTGTGTTCCGAAAAACAACCAACACTTACCAATGTTTTCAGCTACTGTAGCGCCGGTTCCACCATATTCAGGTGGTATGACATCTCTAGGCATGTGTTCAAATAATTCATCTATACTCTTGTGTATTTTAAGCTAAAATATAAATAACAATATTATAACATAATATTATTGCATTTTAAATTTCTACCTCAACTAAATATAAATGTGCAGAAATACAGGGATTATTTTATTAACCACCATAACTATCTAGTTTTTCTGATGTTCAGTTCAAACTTACCCGTTGTTTCGCTTTTTCGCTAATAAATGCGGACACGAGCTTGAAGATAGTCTCGATACCTGAGGGCACATTCAAGTGATGGCTGCCCTTCAGCCTGAGAGGTAGGGAGTCCTGTTGAATTGTACTTATCATGAGGTCTTAAAACCACAGTCCGCTCGACTGTTCGGCAGACAGACTTTTTTGTATCGATACAATACTTATAACTAACGACTTCGTTCGGATGAATTTAAAAAAATATATAGCCAATGTTACAGATAAATCACCTTTCTAATGATGAAAGAATTATGAAAATCGGCCCAGTAGTTTTTTAGTTATTTCAATACATACAAAAATTCAAAAATACTATTTTTTTTCTCTTTATCATATAAGTATAGAAATAGTTATATGAAATACTAACGATTACGTAATTTGTATAGTTAAATTTTAAGGATCTTACCTGACTAACAGCGACAATTTTCCGAAGTAAGGTGACATTGGCTTGCACTAAGTGATTGAGGGTCGTGCCTTCATAATCTACGACAATTTTCGTTCCTATCACTGACGCAGAGTCATCTTCCATTACCAATATCTATAAAAATGAGTAGAATTAAGAACGTCGTTATTGAAATTTCCACTTCATGTTATTGCTATCAATAGTTCAATAGTTATCAATAGTTGTAGCAGCCTTGTATATATTTATTGAACGGATTATTCCCAACCGTCAACACATTCTGTCCCCACGTGGGAACAGATGAGATTAAAAGTTTTATCCGTCCCACCTTTTAGTCCAACTATGACCAATAAGGTGACAGATGAAACCGTTGTAAAATAAAATAAGTTCCAATCGGCCCTTCTTCGCAAAAGGTGGGACAGATGAAACTTTTTATTCTCATCTGTTCCCAGACAGAGGTCAGAGACACAGAAAGGGATGACGGTTGGGAATAATCCTATTGAACTTAAAAAAAAATATTAGATACAATGATTGAAGTTCAATGATGCTATATGTTATCTATGTAAAAAGACAGGTTACAATAAAAACCTTATGTAACTTAATGTATCTATGCACTCTTAAGTTTAATTTTATCTCTATATAACTTGAGTACACACAAAACATACTTGAACCATATAATACAAAATGCACATGATGTCTGCAACACTGTTCTTCTCCGGGTCGTATCTGCCCGCTCTGATGAGAATTACACGCGGATGCAAGCCAGTTGGTGCTTTCGGTAAAATTATACATGTTCTGAAAGTTAAGAAGTTGAACATAAATTTCTTTATCTTTTATCTTTGTATAACAGTAAGTTTTTTTTAACGATGTTAAAATACAGGTTTTTGCTTTCTTATGCTAAACTACATAATTAAAATTAACTAACTGTTGCTCGCGACTTCATTCACATGCAATTAAAAAAAACATAGCCAATGTTACTTACTGATTTTGAGCTTTTTAATGGTGAAAGCATTTCTGAAATCGGCCCCGTAGTTTTTGAGTTATTACAATACATACAAAACTATAAATATATAATTTTTCTTTATAATGTTAGTATAGATTTGTTTTTAGAACGAAATAAAGTTACATTCTACGAAACTATGTTTAAATACTATTTTTAAAACTACTAATCTTGTTACTAAATACTAAGCAGATTCATTAAAGTTAAATAGAAAATAACAATTGCATTTACCCTAATTTTAAGAAATTAATAAAAGCTTGTTGTGTCGGTTTCAATCTGAGTGTGACTTCAGGCGAGGTTGTCCGCAGCGTGTAGTACAAGTCCAACTTTTCTTTCACCCTCTCCAGACTGAACTTGCAGCCTCGCAGCATCGCAACCAGCCATTGGTCATCTGAAAATATTTCACCACAGTTTTATACATATGCACTTCTTAACGTACTTGTGAATTACGTGAGTATCAAAACGAAACAATAACAACGTCAAGTTATATCGAAACCGATTAAGGCCAAACGTTATTAGTTATTAATTAATAAGAGAGTAATTACTATAATACTTATTTCTTTGTTCCAGTTTGGTTGATAATTCGTATTTTATTCTAAATGTCGTAAGTCGGGAAAAAATATTTAAAACCAACTTTTGCCCGCGACTCCGCGCGGAATTAAAAAGAAAAACAACAGTCAGTAGCCTATGTGTTCTTCTAGACTATCCTCTACGTCTGTATCAAATTTCATCGAAATCCGTTCAGCCGTTAAGGCTATAAACTCTAACAAACATCCATCCATCTAAACTTTCGCATTTATAATATTAGTTAGTATGATTAGTATTATAATTATTTCATGAGTTACTTTTTAGATTACGCTTAGAAACTATCAAACTATATATCTAATAACGTTATCTATCTATCTTTATTATCGCCAAGAGATCTGCTTACCGGAATATTTAAAGGGTACTGAACTTAACCTTTTGTCACTTAATGATTTTTTTGGTTATTCATGTTATCGTTAAACGCAATATACGAGTAGAAACTCATGCTTATTTATAAATGTCTCCAAAGAAAAATCCTAAATAGTTTATTTGCGCGGCGTAATTTAAGATCAAACACAGTTTTACAGTCGTTGATAACTAAAACGTACTCATTCACAATGATTCCATATTTTAAGTCAAATAAAAAAGAAAATTAATGTTTGTCTACTACAATAACCATTTATTTAGTAAGAAAAATTTAAAACCACGAGTATAGAATCAGATTTAAATACCAATACAATTTTTAAAATCTTGTTGAAGAACACAAAGCCTTACCTGTTCTAGCTTTAAGATGAGACTGCTTCAAGATCCATTCCTTTAAATGCTGAACGTCTTTAGGTGTTTGCTTGGGGTCCTCGTTCAACTCAGTCTTAGCAATGTGCGCCAACTCCGGACTTAGTTCTCGAATCATGATGCCTTTCTGTAGATCACGAATTTAAATTATAAAATTCACTTCTACGTATTGTACACTGACAGAAACATTGGTTATAATAGTGAATAATGCAAAAATTTGGAGAGGTTTATTAAATAATATGACATTTGTTACCAGTTGCGAGGAGAATGGCTGGTATTGGTTGTAGCGACGCTCTATCGACTGATATTATCAGGTAACAATATGCGTTATCGGTGTCGCTCTGAATTGTCGATTAAGCAGCACGCTATTACGCCATTTTAGATCTTGTTTTCTGTTCTATTCAATTGAATTGGTTTCTATGTTCCATCTTATACATTTACTTTGTATGATTTGCAATTAATTTTTTTGACATATATTGTCGACAAATAGTTAAATTTTAGTCAATGTATAAAAAGTCGTAATTTAAAATATTGTCTTAATAAATCTTTTACTTAAAGGTTCTTTCAATTTTATAGCGAAGATCAAGTAAAGTTTCTCAGACCTACATACATATGTATACTTAACATCGTGACACCAGGGGACGTATACTTATACTTGGAGATAAGAAAATACTATATTTTAACCCTGTAACCTTATTTTATTAATGACACATCTGATAAATAGTTTCGAATCTCGATAATCCAGCCTAGGTAAGTGACGGGGCCATTGGAATCTAGAATTACAACATTCCTTGGGTTGGTAAGGCAAGACAATATTTACTGGGTTAGTTGCAAAATAAAACTACATAACATAATTCATGATGATATATTTCATTTTTGATCCTAAGCACAGTTTAATCGAATTGTAGTTGCCTGAAGGAACCTTCGACTCCAAACAGTTCTTCCGCAGTTTTAGGTTTACCGGGTCGTTTAGATTCGTCCGTTCCATATAAGTGTTCCTCGTCGAGCCATGCGCTATACTCCAAAATCTTTTTCTTTAAATTATCTGAAAATAGAAACGAAAATAAAAAATCGAATTTAATACACACGATAATTTTTAATCGTAATGTCATAATGGCCTTTAAATCGAAATCTTGAGTTGTTATTGATACTTTAAATGATTGACAAAGATATATTCAATTGCTTTCCAAACTAGAGGGAGAGTTACGATTAGTTCTAAGGATAATTCAAAATGTAATCAAGTATGCATTACAAATTCGCTTATTACCTAACTTTTGTTCCGTTAATTTGTCTTACTTACTAATTTGTAGTAATTTGCGTACCTGCGAGTTCTCGAATAGTCCCGGCATTACCGCCATACTCTGTCGGCAGTACTTCCTTAGGTACATGCTGGTACAGTGATTCTAAATCGGTGTGTACATATAACTACGGAAATAAGTAAATATTAAATACTTAATACTTTTAATTACGTAAAACGTGTTTTTTTTAAGAATTACGTACCCTTTTTTTGTTTTTCTCATTGAGGAAACTTTTCATGAAGTTATAGATAGTCTCGAAGAACGAAGGCGTATTCACGTAATGCCCACCTTTCATTCTTATTGGAGCGGCTTCCTAAAACAATTACACAAGACACTTTTAAGTTGAAACATCTGTCTGGTGTCGTTTACTATTGTGTGAAAACCAGTAGATAACTTACTGTGTTTAAAATCTCAGCAAAATGTAAGAAGGCCTACATTTTAATCATATAGTTATTATTAAATAATTCGAAGTAAGTGAATATTACCTGAAGCCCGACACTCATTTTCTTCATGAGCACTGGATTTATCTGGGTGAAGTGGGCCATGGTGATACCCTGTAAGTCCATGATGTTGACCCCACCAGCGACAACGAAATTGTCATCATCCATTAACATGATCTACAGGGAATTAAAAAATAGAATCATATGAGTTTACTAAGTTTTCCCATAAATGCGCAACAAACTATTTATTCAAAAAATATTTTCGTACAACATTTTGTTACATACATTTTGGATAACAGCATTGAGAGACATCACTTCGCCTATAGAATATTTACTAGGATCGTATAATCCTGGTCGTGCTAGGATAATCCTAGGTCCAGCAGGATTGGAGGATTTTGGTAAAACCACTGTTACTCTGTAAAACATTATCTAAGTTTATTGGTAGTTAAAATATATTTTAACAGTGGTGGTGGTGGTGGAGCCCGCTTTAACATCTTCGCACAAATGGGTCGGCTCGCCCGGTGTAATACCACGACCACACAGAAAACTGGCGTGAAGTGGAAGCAATTCCGGGTTTCGTCTGAAGAGTGTGGTGCCGGAGGCCTAATTTTAGTCCCTTTCCCTTTCCACCCTTTTCTTAAGAGGAAAGGATGGGTAGGAAAAGTGCATTTGATGGTGGAGGAGACGCATAGGAATTGGAAATGTCCTCTTCATGTGCGTCTTCTCCTCCGTCAATTATAGGTAGGCAACGCATCTGCAATTGCGGATGTTTATGGGCAGCGGTCACTTTCCATTTCGGTGGATTCAGGTGGCCGCTTGCTCGTTTGCCACCTAATATTATATAAAAAAAAAGATATACTATTTACAAGCTACATCAATTCACGTCAATTAATAACTAACAATTAGCGAAGATTTCTGATTTTTAATTAGCCTAAAACTTACCCTAGGTCAAGAAGCTCGACAAACTTTGGATCATTATATTTCAAAGGAGTCAGCTCAGGCGCGGTTGTCTTTAACGTATAAAATAGATCGATTTTTTGCTTTGTTCGTTCCAAACTGAATTTGCAACCTCTTAAAAACGCAGCAAGCCATTGGTCGTCTGAAATATTAATTTTTATCATTAATATTAATCATACTACGAGTGATGTTATAACTGCGAAAGATTAGATGGATGGATGTTTTTTAGAGTTTGTAGTAATTTGGTATGGATGAAGACGATAGTCTGGAAGTACACATAGGTTACCCACTTGTTTTTTTTTTAATTCCACGCGGACGGAGTCGTGGGCGAAAGCTAGATATTAAAAAACTGTGCTATTTTATTTATTTAATACTTTTGCACAAATAAAACAATAAAGCTTAAATTAAGTGATTACTAGATTTGCGCAAGTGAGGCCTTATCACTAAGAGCGATCTCATCCAGGCAACTCTGTGACTCTGTGGGACAGGTTTACTAATACTTCATTTCATTAAAAGTGTTTTGACGTGACACGTAAATTGATTATTTTATTATGATGATAATTCTATTTTTTTGTACACGGCGATATCAAAGTGACTAAGCACTTTACAAAAAATATATATACCTAGCAGGATTGTACTAACATTTAGGACAAATGTGCCGTTTATGATATTTTATAGAAATATCTTTCTGAAAAGCAAACTAAATATTTATCGTAACCACATATCAGAGAACTAGTAGAGGCTAATAGTATAGTAAGATTCCAACTTTATGAAGGCTTGTTGATAGTTGGGGGTATCTTCGGAAATTTGGCATCCAAATGGGTCTACAATCAGGTGGTTCTAAATTCAATATTATATTATTTTCCCATTGAACTATAAATTCAAATGTAAATACCTGTTCGGGCTTTTAAATGTGGCTGTTTGGCGAGCCACTCCTTCAAATGCTGCAAACTGTCCGCCAACTTATTGTCATCGGTTTCGTTTAGTTCATTTCTTGCTTTCTCAGCCAACTCGGGAGATAACGCTCGAACCGGCATCTTAACAAAGCTGATTAAAAACAATCCAGAAAAATATGTGATTTCAGACACCCTCACCAAATATATCGAAATAAACGCAAGCGATCTTTTAATTTGAAATTATGTAAGTCATGTACTTAAAAGTATGGCTTAATTTACGTAAAGTTAGACTGAAGTCGTCACTAACTATTGAGGAACTTGGTGGGATCGTACGTAAGATGAGTCATTTTTAGTTTATTATATTTATAAGGTCTGAATAGTTTAAAAAACGTACCTTTTAATTATTACTTAAATTAAATGTAACGTCGAGTCGCCGCGTACATCAACACTGACCGATAGTGCTCGCAATTGATAACAAATTAATATAAGGTACGGATTAGTAAAGGCGTCTTAGATATGATTACAATTGATAATTTATAAGTTTCGTTTGAACCTCAGTTCGCTTGATAACTTTTTTGATAATTAATATCTGTTTTTATATCAGCCAAGCATGAATCATTGCCGTGATGATATTTTTTCAGTAAAAAATGCAGTTTTATCTGATCCACAAAACAACTTCCAGTTGTTAAAATAAGTTGAAAACAATTTTTGAAAATAATAATTCTTATTTTAATTCGACTTGAGAATACAAAAGACACTGATTCTTGTAAGTTAATCAAATTCTAATCGACGAAAGGAGCCATTAGCACCGAACATGGCGTCAGCTGTTTCTGCACGTCCACTCCTTGCAGACTCATCAACGCCATATTGCAGATCTTCTTTGAAAACCTCACTGTATTCTTGAACTTTCTTTTTCCAGTAATCTGTAAAAAGCAGTCAAAAATAATTTAATAGCGGATCCATATCATAACAAAAATGAAATAACAGCGACATTACATTAAAAATAGCATAAATTAACATAGGATAACATTAAATGTGATAAAAAAATAATATTAAACTCCGAATATGTGTTAATTCTTACTTATAATATCCTCAATATTTTCAGACTCCCCATTATATTCGAAAGGTAAAATATCTTTAGGGATACTTTTGTACATTTCATCATAATTCTTGTTGTGCACGAAAAGCTGAAATAATAAAGTTATTCAATACACATCGATTAAAATAAAAAAATGTAACTATTAAAACAAATTTCTTACTCTTTTTCGGTGCTTCTCATTTAGAAGACTCTTCAAAGCATTCAATATGCTCTCAAAGCCAGGTGGTGTATTTAGATAGTGAATACCTTTTACGCGTACGGGAATGGCGTCCTATTAAAAATCATTTTTAAATAATCAGAAATGCTATTTTATCTTAATTGATAAGTTTTTTTTTATTTTACCTGAGCAAGTGTTACCATCTTTTTCATAGTTGTGAGCGTCATCTGCAAATAGTGCCCTAACTTGACACTATTTAAATCGAAAATAATACGAGATCCGGCAATCACTGTGTTGTCATCTTCCATTAATAAAATCTACAATTAATTTCCGAACATTAGATCAATATGTGGAATAGATTAACAAAATAAATAATCCAAGAAAGGCGGCATGCAAATTAATATCACCTTCGACTTCAAGTATCTTATCACAAAACTTTCTAAAAGTTCTGAACTATCTAAATAGACCCCCATTTAAGTAATAACATTCTGAGCTATCATTTTATTTAGTGTGCCTCTTCCATCAGAAAACTAATTCACCAATTTAAAAAATCTTTAGATTATAGTGGACTTAGTCTTATTTTACTCATATGCAGAAAACTTTTGAAATACCTTGTGTATAACATCAGCTACGGAAATTATATCTGTGATAGTAAATTTATCGGGATCGTAACTTCCAGGTCTTATGATTATAACACGCGGTGCAGCGTCGTGGTCCACACGAGGCAGTACTAAATATGAACTGTGAGCAAATTACATATATTACAAATAGTTCCTAAGAGTAGATTTCTGTATGTAGTCATTAGTTCATCTATTATTAATATTTTCCTTACCCTGTTTCAAGAATCTCATTAAATGCAGAATCTGAATATTTTATTCTAAAACAATCTGGTGCTATGTTCCGTATCGAATAATATTTGTCTATCTTCTCTTTTGTTCTTTCTAAACTAAATTTGCATCCGCGCAGAAAGGCAAGCAGCCATTGGTCATCTGCAACACGTTCATTTATTACATCACAAATTATCAATCACCTAGTTTAGTACATTTTTCTATCTAGAAAAAGATACAAAAAGATGATCTGATCTTGAGTGTTTGCTTTCTATTGTTAGCGATACAGATGAACAAAGAAGGAATAAAAGCGACAACGACCGGTGATGGATGAGAGTAAATTAGATAAGATTATGGATGAATAGATAATTATTTGTATTACTACAAATAAAATTCATAGGTAATATAAAAAGAACCTTTGTTTTTATTCATCAAATCGTTTGAAACACAATAATCAATTTAACAAGTTGTTTTGAAGCTATCACCATTAGCTCCAACGATCGGAGTAAAGATGGCAGGATTTTTAGCAGTGACTACAAACTGAATTTGGAGTGTGGACCAAATATAGGATGAATGAAAACATTTAAATTATAACATGAAAAAATACTTAAATTATGCTCACCTGATCTTGCACGCAAATGATTTTGTTTTGACAACCATTCTTTAATATGCCGCAAATCATCTTCAACTCGTTTTGGGTCTTCGTTTAATTCCGTATAAGCTATCATAGCTAATCCATCGGGCAATGGCCTTACAGACATTTTAACAGATCTATCAAAGTTTTATTTACGCGGAATTAACACACTGTTTAAATTATAATTATTTACACATTTTTCATCACAATTTATCTTGACATGCAAATAAAATCCCTATCTTTACTAACTAAAATATCGAAATGAAATAAAAAATGTTTTAAAACACTAATGTAATAATTCGTTTAACTGTTTTATTTCAGTGCACCTATTCAGATAAAATGTCGAAATATTTTTCATGTATACTAGTCGAATAATGAGACTACGCACGGGAATATCGGATGAGATATCAGCACTTGTAGATAAAATGAATTTTGATACACCGTAAGTAGCGTCATAGTCATGAGTACATCGAACTTACTAAAAATGTTTCAAAACGAAAGGTCTCGTCGAGGGAATTTAAATACGTCATACGTTATAATATAACCAACTGATTAAATTGCTTTAAGTGTTTAATAAAATCATAGATACGTAAGACAAATGGATTAGAAATAGACAACGAAATGCGGAAGACGGAATACGGATTTACGGGTGATTGATGATGATGATCGTTCCAGTGATATCACCAGATTCAATAGTAAATTCAACAGGTAAGTTTTAAGAATAGTTATAGATTTTGTTTGCAATAATGTAGTGTTTGTTAGAGTTGGAAATCAACTTCAAGAGACAACGCACTCCGAAAACTGGAAGTGCTTTAAATCAGACATCTTATAAGACGTAGTCATTAAAATAAATAAAATTACCGTTTTTATATAAAAAAATCTTATTTAGTCCTTAAAAGATTAATTAAATTTTGAGACTCATTCTTCAGCGGTTAGCAGTGACGCACATGCTACGTTTTTTTGCACTTTCTTTGATGTATAGTGTCACTTATTCAGTGTAGTCGTCAGTTGTTTGTGTTTGTATATTTATAAACTACGGAGCAATGAGTCATTGATTAAAGGTTCACGAACACCCATGATAAATTACCCTTTTTAAAATTATCCTGCTGTTAGTAATAAACTTGTTAGTCTAAAGTGATTTCAAAAGAAACGATGCTGTTCTTATTTTTTTTTTTAATTAATTTACCTCTTCATAATCTTGCTAGTTTGAGTTGTAATCTTATAAGCTACGACGATAATCGACTTACATAAGATACCTGCTAATGAACTAATTGGATAATTTTAAAATACTATTTTTTTTTTAATTTCTACGAGTGTTCCATAAAATAATACAAATGTTTAAAAAATATGTAAAAATCACTTTATTTAAATGTAAAACAATAATGTTTCCTTCCAAATTATCAGTCAAAATTCAGCTGCCTGAAGGAGCCGTCTAATCCGAACATGTCCTCCGCGGTCTTCGGCTTGCCGCGACGTTTGGTCTCGTCAGTGCCGTACTGATAGTCCGTCTCCAAGAAATCGCTGTACTCCTCCACTTTCTTTTTCCAATAGTCTGTAGAAAAATGACAAAAATTGACAATAATTTCCTATGCCTTTAAAAAGTAAAATGAAGGTTTGAAAAACAAATTTCCTTGTGGGCGCGGATACACCGGCCCCTTATAAAATTAATTTGTAAATTAAGTTAAGTTTGGGCTCATGACCATTTATATGCTTAAGGTCTGATCAAATAATCTACAATGTCCCATCTAAAATTTCATAAACTGATTACCTGTGATCTCCTTAACAGTACCACCATCACCGCCGTATTCTGCAGGCAAGATCTCCTTGGGTATGTATTTGTACATATCCTCGTAGTTTTTGTTGTGCACGTAGAGCTAGAGATATACAGAAAGCGTATAACTATTTATAATATATGTAATATACACTGTCTTATCACTCATTTATTTTAACTTACTCGGCTCTGATTCTTGGTGTTCAATAAACTTTTCATTGCATTGAACACGGTCTCGAAGCCTGTTGGAGTATTTAGATAATGAGCTCCCTTCATACGTAAGGGCAATGCGTCCTGAAATTATCGTTTATAATTTAAAAATGATTAATCTACAAGCAGAAATATATAGATTGACTGTAATCACTCGTTGTTACTACACTACTGCTCAGCATCATAAGCATAGAAAAAAAATCATGTGCTGATAAAACTAATAAGTATTATAACATCTAAGAAATGACTAAATTACCTACCTGCGAAGCTACGACCATCTTTTTCATAGTCATCGGTGTCATTTGTAAGAGATGCGACATTGTGACATTGTCTAAATCCAAGATGAATTGGTTACCAGCTATCACCATATTGTCGTCTTCCATTAATGATATCTAAAATAGATCGTTTACATTAACAAATATAATTCAATAACGCAATAACAACAGATCAATGACACTTTCTATTTACTTGCCTTATCAATAACAGTGTTGACTGACAAGACATCGGCGATTGAATATTTTTCAGGATTGTATTGTCCAGGTCTCACAATTGAAATACGAGGTGCATCAGGACTTGCTACTTTTGGCAATATTACTGTCGATCTGCAATATATTATTAGCGTTGTGGTACATGTTATCTTTTTCATTAAATGTCAAAATTACTAACCTTTAAATGTTACATACCCCAGTTCCAGAATTTCATTAAATATAGGATCAGTGTGTTTAATTCGATAAAATTCAGGTGCCGTGTTACGAACAGAGTAATATAAATCTAATTTCTCCTTTGTTCTTTCTAAGCTAAATTTACATCCGCGGAGAAACGCTATCAGCCATTGATCATCTGAGAAGAAAAATAAAAACACATTAGGAAACTTTATTAATGTAATTTAAGTAGACAGTTTCTTATAACAGATTGATTAAAGAATCAATAGATCATTGTTACAATTAATTTATGATGTAAATATTCAGTGCATCGTCAATAATCTTAATAGCAATAAATAAAATGGACAGGAAAGTTCTAAGTAGTACTTACCCGTTCTTGCTCGTAGATGTGGTTGCTTCGCTATCCAATCCTTCATATGTTGCAGATCATCGTTTATACGATTTGGATCCTCGTTAAGCTCCAAGCGAGCTTTTTCAGCTAGTTCAGTAGATAACGGCCGTAAAGGCATATTAAACCTTTTTCTAACAAAGTTACAATTAAACACGTCTTCTAGTAGAAGCAACTATTTGTCCAGTGCACACTTCAGTAGATTACGGCAGTTGTATATGGTTTTTATCATTGATTAGATATCTATGTATATCCATATAAAAATCAATAATGTAACTTACGTGTCCCAATGTAATTTTGGATATTTTAAAAATTTACGTTCATATTATATATTCTCTTATGAAATAAATTAAAAAAAGAATCAAAGTAATTTATTAACTTAAATATAAAACTGCATTATTTTTCCATATTCAAATAATTTTCTTAAGATATGCTAATCGAATTTCAGCTGCCTGAAGGAGCCTTCTAATCCGAACACGTCTTCCGCGGTCTTCGGCTTGCCGCGACGTTTGGTCTCGTCAGTGCCGTACTGATAATCTGCCTCTAAGAAGTCGCTGTACTCCTCCACTTTCTTTTTCCAATAATCTGTAGAAAAACATCAAATGTTGACAATTATTAAGAACCGCCACTCTAAATTTACTAGCATTAATAAATAAACATGAGAAAGGTTTCTTTGTTTGGTGAAATAACTGACCTGTTATCTCCTTGATTGTACCTCCGTCTCCTCCGTACTCAGCGGGCAATATATCTTTAGAAATATACTTGTACATCTCCTCGTAATTTTTATTGTGCACATACAACTAAGAGATAAATAATGAAGGTAAAAATGTTTGCAAATACATAGCTCAATTTCAAATTTCTTTAATCTACTTACTCTACTTTGATTTTTCGCTGTCAATAAACTTTTAATTGCGTTGAAGATAGTTTCAAATCCTGTTGGAGTATTTAAGTAGTGAGTTCCTTTCATACGTAAGGGCAAAGCATCCTGAAATAAACATGAAAGTACACAATTAATTAAACAAAATTCAAATTTGATTAAGTAACTAATTTACATTGTAAAAAAATGATTTGTGAGGGTGTCTCCCGATGGCCTGATGTGCGGCGTCCAAGATGTTATTTAATTTACTTAGTGATTAACATATTTATCGATATTTTGATAATGTGTGTTTGTAATCTGACAAAAATTGAACATATAGAAATTTTCATTTAACAGAGTATGAAATAACTTTAAGTTTTACCTGTGTTGCGACCACCATCTTTTTTATAACCATCGGCGTCATTTGCAAAAAATGTGACATTGTGACGTTATCTAGATCCAAAATAGTTTGGCTGCCGGCCACCGCCAAGTTGTCGTCTTCCATTAATAAAATCTTAAATTAAATTTAATAAATACATAATATATCATGTATTAACTTATATTAACAAATAAATTCACACTACAATATAATGTCTACTGTCTCAAAACCTGAACAAAAACATTTTATCCTCGTCTCTGTTTAACTAAGAATAAAAGGAATGTATGTTTTGGAACATGTTTCGACAGTGAAAACTCTGGGTAGTAATTTTTTTTACAATACTTACTTTATCTAGAACAGTTTTTACTGATATTACATCAGCGATTGCATATTTGTCCGCATTGTAACTGCCGGGTCTTATCATAGAAACCCGCGGGGCTGTTCCATTGGCTAACTTCGGTAATACTATGAGCGAACTGAAAAGATAACTTATTTTTATTAAACTTCCATTCAATCACATAAAACACTGTTAAATCTACTAGTTCTACTACTAGCTTATTGCGTATGACCCTTGTTATTTTTCTTTATTTAAATATAAAGAAGTACAGTTTTTTTACATTTACCCAAGTTCCAGAATCTCATTGAAGAGCGGATCAGTATGTTTAATTCGGTAAAATTCAGGTGCTGTGTTACGAACTGTATAGTATAAGTCTAATTTTTCCTTCGTTCTTTCTAAGCTAAATTTGCATCCACGGAGAAACGCAAGCAACCATTGGTCATCTGAAAAAAAAAATGGAACACTTAAGTTGCTACACAAAACAGCTGGGAAAGGGAACTGAGGCAAGGCAAAGCTAAACATGAAAACAAACCGAAAATGCAAAGGGTAGTTTAATTAACATTTGATTAGCGGCGGTCCTGTTTTGCTAAGTCAATGTTCTAGAGAAATTATTATTTTAACTTACCTGTTCTAGCTCGTAGATGTGGTTGCTTCGCCAACCAATCTTTGATATGCTGTATATCATTGCTGACGCGATTCGGCTCCTCGTATAGTTCTAAACGAGCTATTTCAGCCAGTTCATTAGATAAAGGTCGTATTGACATTTTATAAAATTTCTTATGATCTCGTTTTATAACAATTCCCTTATCGAGGAACTGATCGCCCTCAACACCACACTCTCACATACTAAAACTGTGTAGTGTTTAATTTTTTGTTTATCTTTGATTAGTTATCTATAGCCCACGTAACGTAACCAATATTGGAACATTCGATAATTTGTAGGTATATGTCTGCGGAATATAACTAAATGGGTAACTGTATAAAAGTTAGTTTACACTTGATAAATTGGTTAAAAAGTTACATGTAGAGGTTACGAATAAGATATGTATTTCAATAAATGTTTAATTCAATGTTTAAGTTACATGTTATTATGTCAATTAGATGTTCTCCAAAGTTTGTTTGTTTTTTTATCAGTATTCATTATATGCTCGTGTCAATGACATACTAATCTTTCACAACTTGATCATAAACTTCTTAGTTATATTAATATCATAAAAAAGCAACCCATATTTTTATTTCATAGTAAAGGAAACATGAATACATAAGTATTTTTCCATGCAGCAATGTACAAGAGAAGCAACAAAATCCCATATTTCATAGGTAAATGCTCAAATAATTCATTATTCAATATAAAATATAGCCTGTAGATTGCAATGCATTAACTATGAATGAGTCAACTCAGTACGCAGATGTGGTATCTGGTTTCGAGCAAATTGAAACATACGCGAAGCAAGCGGCGGCGCGCTGTCTGCTCGCGCTAGTAAAATAAACTGGACTGTGTGCCGTGTGTTAAACGCATAACAGGTGCACCACGATGCCTCTAAATTAAACTAAACTAAACTTATTAATTTCAACATCTAGACGATCCCAACCGTTGCGTTTACACGATCTCAAAAATCAATAGTTTACGTTATAGGGACATTAATCAAAATGTTTCGCCCAACTTTCCAGGCCGGAGTTCCAGCGCTCTGCAATCTGCAATAATGTATGCTTTGTTTATTATATTGACGTCAGCATCGAGAAAACTTCAACATATTCGTTGTATAATAATAAACATTCAGTTTTCATTACTTCTTTAACACAAATCAATGTGTGTGGTAAAATAAACGGCTTTGAATTTTTCAAACAATACATTTATTTCGTGAATATTTACATCGATTTAATCTATTTTATATTATAAACCCTGTTATAATATTATTTAATATTTCGTTTGCTTTAGTACAATCGATTTGCTGTGTATTGTAACATCGAGTTTATCGAATACATCGCAGGGTTATCGTGACTAAAAGGATCACAGAAAACAAAATATGGCGAGACATAAATTACAACTTAATATTCACAAATATTAGCTAGTAATAAATCCACGTATAGTGTGTACCATAAACTGAGTCTCTAAGTTATCTTTACATTGGCTTTGGCTTGATGTCTTGTGGGAATAGGTTTCAAATTATTTGTTTACATATAATGGATACTCCAACAGCAAGCAAGATGGATGATTTATATAACTAAATGATAATATGCCATAAGCCACAATAACAAATAAATACTTATACACTACAAACTTAAATCTACTTAAGTAATACTACTCTTAAAATCACAAACGACGGATTAGAATCCAAGTAAATCGTAAGATAAAACTATTATAAACGCTTAAAATTTTACTAGAAAGCCTTGGAATTGTTATAGTCATAATCTATTTAAATTGATATAAAATTTATAGTGATTGTTTTCATTCAACTAGCTAATTTCTTAAAGAAGTACCTAATGTAATAAAAAAAACTCAAAGATTATGTTTTCATTCACGGGGACCACACTTTATAATTTAAAGTTTGTTGTTTCAGAAAATTTATTTAAATTTCGATTATTGTTGGTATTCTCAAAGGTTTAAATGCAATTTAATATTTCGTACAGTATGTATATGTTGAAATTGTAAACCGTGTATGGACAAATTAACAACAAACTATATGTTACAAAGATTTAAAAAATCACTTAATCCTTTCTTTTCTACACAATACATCTAATGCAAAAAGGAACATAGTTGATATTGTTCTACACATACAATAATGTATAAACCGTAGACACGTTAGTAGTTACTAAACAATTAATATATTAATTTGCAAAATAACAACTTTTGAAAAAAACAAAAGAAGTTAAAACATCTTTAAACATATCCAATTTCCATTTCTATCTCTAATGGCAAATGGCTGTAAATGTTTGCAACAAAGTACAGATTTATAAAGTATTCGAAATCTAAATTATTGTGTAAGTGCATCAAAAGTTAGAGAAGAGTTTGAGTTCGTCCGGGTCGAGCGCACGCGCCGCTTTCCAATCCGTCTCGGGGTACTCATCGAAATTAGATGTGTCTCCTTCGTACGACACCGTAGGCATTATTGGCGGCTGAAAACAAAGGCAAAACACAATGTTTACAGTTAATACATTATAAGTCTAGAGTGCGATGCGCCTCTCACTTATGTCATGCGCAAGTTTAATAAAATACCGCGTAGTAAACTACTAAATATAAATAAAATAAATTAGTAAGCAATCAAGTTTCAAGTTACCTGTAATTTCTTCATGAACACGTCCGCCCAGTCCAAATGCTTGAACCACCTGTGCCTTTTAACGTCTTCAGATCCGCACTGTAACCAAAACAAAGACTGTTTATTTGATATTGTCTAACTATCGCAAACATTTCAGCTGTTACACTTTTTTAATAAAACTATTTATAACAAAAGTTTCTGCATTTCGTACACCACATGTCTGATAAATATAAATGTTATGGATTATTTTTATTCCTATTTCATTATGGTAAACCTACTGAAATATATCTGAGCTTTAACGTATTTAAATTATATTTATTTGCCTGTTTATTATTTACGTCAATAACTATTTGACTATTCGGAATGCAGCAGTTAGTTCAAAACAATAAACATTAACATCAACTTGGGTTTTATTCACATTTTACTAAGAAAATATAAAGACTGCGTAAGAGATTGATTTGTTTTTCCGAAATCGTTACAATAGCTCATATACTTATTCGTTAATTTGTTCAATGAATCAAAGTAGCCATATTATATAAGCAATATTTTATCATAATGCCAGAAGTGAATGGGCAACCATTAGTCGCTCATATCTCATCTGACTTGCCAACTTGTTAGTTACGCAGCAAATAAGCTCTGGTGAAAACTAATGTACGACCGATTTACATACTTAAACGATAGTTGACATCTGTTTTCTATTACATTTTTCATATTTCATTTTATGCAATGTTAAGTTTACTATATACCCATGTTTGACATGAAATGAACTAAAACATAAATGTATTTAGATTGAATTTAGGTTTCTATTATGCCAATGCATATTGAATTTATTTATTAGCACAAAAGCGCAGTTAATAATGTTTAGGTAGAGTGCAGTCTGTTATTATTGGCATTTGCGACGTTCGTTAGCGGCTGGGCGTCGTAAATTGTTATGTTTAAAGTTGAGCGCTACATTTCCGAATCCGTCGGTTGCGCAAGCGCACATTTTACGCAATTCCTTTGGCTTGATTGATTGGTAGTTACTTCGTTTTACCGGCATCGTTTAATGGCGCGAGGGCTGCGATCGTTCGGACTGAATTATTGTTACACTCACGCTGATGTAACTATTGCCCGCTTCTAAATTATAATTTAACGTAGTCGACTAAATGTAACTGTTTTTGAAGTTAAAACAATTGGAAATTAGCCCCTGTAAAATTTTTCTCATACTTTATTCTGGTACAATAAATATGCGATCCAACATGCAAGTAGGTACACCATAGCTTTGGGACAATACAGGACATTAGCACCTGTTCAACAATAGTTACCGCACTAGAAACTCTGACGGTAAGCTGTTCGACCAGTTATACAGTACAGTTACGCAACGGGTTTTGTTGTTTCGTGATATAACGCACATCTGCAACATTGCGGGATTGCGCATAGTCATCTTAGTACTTAGTACATAAAATATGCGATATAATAGATACGTGAAACATAAACTAGTTTTATTTGCAGTTTACAGATGTAGGTTACCTTTGGAAGGCAATAAAATAAAATATTAATTAGATCGAAATTTTCCCGTGTAGAATTAACATAAATTAAACCTTAAAACGGTTGTAACTATAAAACGAATTATTATTTCATAAGTAAAACAAACATTAAACTAACCATTTTATGTGTGTCGTTACCAGAATAAACATCAAAGAAGCAAATTATTATTGTACAAAGCGGAGACGCATTTCGAAATGATTAAGCGGACATAAATCGGCTAGCATGTGAGAGTTATCTCCGTAGACCCCGATTTCTGAGACGACTTGCATTGGGCAATCTGTAAGGTTTCTTTCGACCCAAAAATACGACACTCAAAGAAGAGTTCGTTTGCACGATAACAAAGATGTGACGCTTTTCGACTTAGGTGTATTTGTACAGTGGTTAAACAAAATTTGTGAATTTTAATCGTGGGTCAAACTTAAAATAATACTGTTTGGATAAGATTGATTCATGAAAGTTAGCCCTTTAAAAAAATTAAGGTAATATAACTAAGCTCTTCTAATGTAAGGAGAATTTCCGTGGGGTTTGTAATCAATCAGTCACTACCGTGGATGGATTTGATGTGACCGCCGTCCACCAGACCGATTGCTTTCTAAACATGTGCACGTCGTCGCTTTACCAGCAAAAAGCTCGGTGAAAACCCAATAGCTAGAAACGGTGCTCGTTAACGACAAACATTCCCCTGTGGAAATCTCTCTGTGCTGTATTACCCAGAAATGTCGCGTACTGTACATATGTCGCACTCTCGCACGTGAAACTTGTGACACAAAATTCTCGACTAGAGAAACTTTTACAACTTAACGGTTAATGTGGCATTTCTTCTGCACTTGAAACTTTTGTATGAAAAGAGGCGAATGAAAATGGCGTTAGACTCAAACTGCGATGTAAATTGCAATCCGGATATCTTATTCAACCTCAAATGTCAAATATCATCGCATATTTTCGATCGGTCCTCATTCTCCCTATTTAAATACATAATTTAGCTCTCAGTGTTTTTCATTGTCAATGTAATAAGGTACAATGTCATGGTAATGAAATGGGTTCTCATGTTACCTTTCTTGACCACATGAAATACAGTAACAGTGGACGGCTAAAATTTATATCGTTTACTCTTAACAGATTCCAATACTTCCTAAGATATTAATTAAACGTAAATTATACTGATAAAAGTTTTTGTTGTCTTTAAAAATTAGTCGCTTCAATAAACTGGTATTTATACTCTTTGTTCTAATTTCATTACTACCAACATTCCGACAACACGCTACTTAAGTAATCGCGTGCCGCAATCAGGCTAGTTGTTAACCAAATAGTTGGACTAACAACATTAGAAATGAAAACGAACCACTCTTCAACATGGAAGTTGTCGAGCGCAACATCAGATGCTAATTATGGAGTTTCTGGACAACAGCCAAAGACTTTGGGGAAAAGACGCAAATGTTCTTTCAACAAATATTATTTTAGACCAAATAAAAAGCAAACATTTGAAATTATAAAAAAAAAAGATTTCAGTGCTTTGTCTTCGTTATTAAAAAAAACGATGAAAGTTCTTACAAATAATATAATACTGGCCATAATTAGGGTGATGTTATGGAAAAAAGAACTAAGAAACTTATGCGATATTTCAAATGTAACGATTGCATTATTATTTTGTAAAATAATGAAGATAAATGCAGACAAGACGCAAACAATGTTTGAAATATAAGAAATTAAGACAGTGATTAAAATAAAACGCGCGGCCGATGGATGGATCGGAAGTGCAACAGGTCGATGTGTTTGTTTAATTTGTTTAGCTGAGAAGTTTGGTTATTTGAGATCTCGAATTAAATATTTCTACAGCGAATTATGTGTATGAAACCAACCTTCATATTTCCGAGCCTTTTTGTTCTGTCTTGCACTAAGAGCTTCTTGATAAGGTCCTTGGCAATGGGGTCGAGGTGGCGCGGCCAATCAACTCGACCGTTAAGGATTTTCTCATATATGCCAAACGGGTTGTCATCGTAAAAAGGCGGGTAGCCGACTAACATTTCATAAATAAGCACACCTGGAAAAAGATACACATCACTTTAATACAAATATTTCATACATTATTCGCGTATAATTCGAAAAAATAAATACAATATGATAAATTCGATACACGTTAAAGACGAAAGTGTGGATGATTTGAGAAACTCATAAACAAACATTGAAGATTTAATTAACTATTATTATCATTAGCCTTTGCTCGCTGCTTCCCTTAGAAATTCTACAAATAATTATGTTTTTAAAGTTAATAATAATTTGCGATTGATTTAGCGAACCATTATTATTTCAACCGATTTTCATAAATATGATACTGATACAGGTCAAGTAAATAGGGTTATAGAGAATACACCAGATAGAGTATGTTATCTTACTAACTTATTTTTTTGTTGTCTCTTAACTCCCGATATTGTTAGGTAAAATACAGATATAATGAAAAGAGAATTAAATAGTAAAATTACATGACATGGTAGCATAACTGTTTCATAGTTCACAAAGATTTTAGCAGGTGCTTGTAAATGCAGCTCAATGGCAGTTCACGAAACGTAGGGCGTCGCAAGCCCTGCACCCATAAATTATATCTAGGCGCAATTATAACTTTGGCACGCTCTAGCGAATTTGTGCAATGGACAAGCTCATATATCACCTGAACATTAAATAATTGTAATGTAAACATAACATTTATATGTCACCACGTTCTCAGCCCGAGTTGAGACAACAAACAACAAACCCTTCGCAAACAGTTATAATGATATCGTCTACTACAATGGAATTAATTATAAATATATCACAGATAGTTTCTAATTTTTGACCGACTTCCCAAAAGAAGGAGGTACTCAATTCGTCAATATGTTTTTTTTTTATGTGTGTTACGGCATAACTCCGCCGCTAGTGGACCGATTTTGATAATTCTTTTTTTATCCGAAAGGTAATGCTTGCAGGTGGGTCCCAATTTTTTTGATTGATTTTTATTTGTTTGTATTTTAATTGTTGATGAGTTTCTGTTACTTTTTGATCAGTGGTTTGCCCATACTTATTTTTGTTTTTATTTTTCATTAAATTCCACAATTAACAAGACGAGTTTTTTTTTAAACACAAGATACAATGACCTAAGTAAATATACCCTTGGCTATCGCAGCCAAAATCTACAGAAACAAACAAGTCACTAAGCCAGTTGTATTGAAACAAGAAGAGAAAAAAAATAAACGCGTTATCGAATAAAAAAGCGATAAAAATGATTTCGACCTTCGATTTAAAAACGAAAATCGCGTGACTCGACTGATGCGGGCATCCAAATAAATCGACAATGAAAACATCAAATGAAAATCAACCTACTTTACTCTTAAAATATAGTCGTAAAAACATGTTTAACATAAAACTCAAATAAAATTTGTTTTCCTTAAGGAACATTCTAACCAACTTTTACTCGTTCATCGCATGTGGTGTGTGTAACGAGTAGTAAGACCTAAATATATCCTATAGGATAGATACCAGGTGAAAATCGGACAAGTAAATAAAGGAATACTGTTTTACCGACAAGCTGTCACATCATCGACATGGTAATTTTAAGTTTGGCAACCAAACGCAACAAGTTGCCAAATAGGTCGAAACTTTAAAAGCTTAAAAAAGACACGTTCATTAAACTTCCCGGAACTGAAAAGCGGATTAAAATAACAAAGTTTAAAAATATCAACAGGCATACGTACATTTGAAGATTTATTCAAAAATATTTCACTTTCACACAGTATCCATTTCGTCGTAAAATATAAATGAAAGACATTTAAAACTCCTTTCCCTATTCACATGAATGTTTGTAACATTTACATATAAAGTTAGTAAAATTTAACATGGCTATAAAATATATTGCTAATATCATTGAAACTAGGTAGCAATAACATTGTAACTAAAGTCAATTTAACGGACCCGGTTCTAACTGAATCTAGCTTTTACATATCGTTTCGATCAGTTACAGCATTTACAAGCAACTGCAACCTTTATCCGCTTTTCCAACACCTATTTGATTCGTTATGTGTTTGTAAGTTTCTTAGTATCACGTTTATTCATATAATATCAATATTAAGACCCCTTGTGCTTGACATTGATGATAACGGCATCGTAAATTAGTAATGTATTATTTAAATATACCAACCTAATGCCCACCAGTCAACAGCTTTATTGTGCCCCTTGCTCTGTATAATCTCAGGTGCCAAGTACTCCGGTGTTCCACATAACGTCCATGTCCGATCTGTTAGTTTCTTTGCGAAGCCAAAATCGGTTATCTTCAAATGTCCATCTTTAGCTAGCAACAGGTTCTCAGGTTTAAGGTCTCGGTACACGATGTTTCTCGCATGTAGGTACTCTAGCGCCGATACGATCTCTGCCGCGTAAAAGTTACCTGCAACAAAGAATTAACTTTTAACCTTAACTAAAATTTTTGACTTTCGACCTCATTTAACATTACGGACATTTAACTTACAAGTGAAATTATAAAAAAAAATTATTCTTATACATGAATGTATATTGTTTGATGTTATTTTAAAGAACTGCGTATCTCTATGCGGAATAAGGCATTGCAGTGCACCCGAAGCGAGCTTGACTGAACACTTTTTTCTCGACTCACTTTTTCGCAACTAATTTATACACTGGGATCGTTCACTTTAGTCAGAATAATATCCAATGACGTGCTCTAAACAATATTGTTCCAAGTAATTTACTAACTCTTACAACGTTGTCAAAAATATATTTGGCACGTGAATATTTTCCGCAAGCTTCACGCGGAAATGTTTCTGAACGACATCTTGTATTATAGAATTGCTATCGTATACTGACAAGGGATTACTATTATATGGATTAAGGAGACTGGAACTGTATCAATTGGTACAAATCAAGATATCGTATTTATTTTAGTGTTCATAAATTCAAAGTAAATTAGCGAGGCGTCTGAGTGCTCGCGCGTCACTTTGTATCTTATTATTAGTAGCGTTTGTCTACGAGGGCGACGGCGCCGCGGGAAAGCTCCGATGTGAGGTGACGTAAATGAATTCACAAAACACTCGATTGAATTATTCGAGCTGAAAGCAATCAACATTCGCAGTCGTGTAAAATTGTTCATTCGATTTTCAAATGGAATTTCGTCCTTCAATACGAGTGTGACGAATGTATTCGCCGATAAAAATATGCTGAATTCAATAAATTACTTTTCAACTTTTTTACTACGTAAATTTGGACACATATTGTGCAATCATTAAATAGACATCATTTTGTTTTTTTTTACTACACTCACTTGTTAATAAACAGTGTAAAATGTTTTAAGTAACGGCAATTCTTTATCTGTAGGGTTTGTGTTTCACTTTATGTTTCAAATTAAAATATCAATGATCTGTATCAGTCTTTCAAAAGACATTTTGATTCATATCCGTGGCGATGAATGTTGCCTTTACATCGGATATGATTTTTAACTGAGTCGTGTTTTATTTTAGTGTTATTGTATACGTAAACATATATATTTAGGTATTCGAATGTATCCTAGACATCGTCGAGAAAAATGATGTCATGCGACGCTTCCATAGCAGCCGAGGTTACACCGCCCACTGCCCACCGCCTGCTGAATCATTCACTCCAGCTCCATACACGTGAACCTTCATTTATAAAGCGTTCTGATTATTTATATAACACCAAATGACATAAATCAGAGAGATTATTTAGAAAGAACTTGTCAAAACTCATACTTTTAGCTGACATACTCAAAGACATTTAAAGGTTACTCGCGCAGTTACTTACTGTAGATTTAAATTTATCAAATATGATATATCCGAAAATAGTCGGATGTGTTATCTTAATTGTATTGTCGGATATTAACAGACTGTTGTCGGATTTCACATAAATCTACTACACACTAATCTAATTCATTATTATTTTGATTGTGTAGAAATATGAAAACAAGAAACTTTCAATTACTTCGCTGGCCTCTTGCTACTGTAAATGTATTTCCTATGCATCGAGTAACTCCGGATATAACCCGACTAGTAATATCAATACTTTGGATTTATAGAAATTTAATTCAAGTTTTACTGATTTATTCATTATTTGAGAGAAAGTCTCTTCATATGTCAGTCAAGTACAAATTATGTCTTTACAATATATTCAATTTGAACATCTTCAATGTAGCACTTTAAGATATTTAAGAATGTTTTCTTATATTGGTAACTCTTTAAATTTATATAAGTAAAATAAGATAAACACTAGCTATCCATCATATTTCATTGACGAGAAGTCAAAAAGGCAAAGAACTCTCAATCAGTATGCCATTTTTTAGCTTATCTTGACATTGGCACCTACGAGTTACATTTGCTCATGTTATCAGCCAACACTCTGATGCAATGTGCTGAGAGAATAGCGATCTTGCCTCGTGCCACGGACAACTTTATCGCCTACAAATATGCAAAATCAAAATGTAAAAAACATTAGACAGATGTTACTAAAATATGCCCTAGAGTTTATTTAATTGATTCCCAGATGTTTAAACATATGAAAAATGTAATAATTTCCTACTTAGTGTAATTAGATTTATTAATTAAATTGTTAATAAACAAGAATGGTTCTTTAATTGCGAATCCTTACTATTATTTAAACATCATTTGTATAACGTATTTTAATTGCGTCGTATGTTACAGCTACAATCTGGTTAATAATCATAAAAACATTTATGAAAGTAAAATTCATTTAAGAGCCCAACACTTTAAACGCTGCAATTACCGGAAGACATAACCCACTTGAAGATCCGCCCGATGCCATTTGGTATTTGTCGTAACATGCTCGATGTATGTTTATTACTTTTAGTTCCGTTAGTAAATACGTATTCCTTAAAATTTTACTATCTCTAAATTAACAAACTCGTGGAAACGTGTATCGTTTACAATTTTTTTTTTAAATATATCACTAATATCAACTTATATGGTTAAGAGTATTAGGGCCTGTTCCATCAAATTGTAAATTGTCTGATAACAATTCACAGTGTAAAATATGTATGTGACGGAAATATCGGATTTTGTTCTCTTATCTGACAGTGACGTCAAACTTAAACTATCTGAGCTTCTATCAGCCAGTAGTGGAACAGTCCCTTAGACTTATAGAAAAAAGAAATAAGACATTTAGATAATAAGAGTCAGTATTTTATCATATTAGCAAGGCTAGAAAATCAAAATTTTCATATTGAAATTATGAATCACCTCAATGTTTTAAAACTAGCGACCTCAGATGAATAATGTTTTTGTTTCAATTCAAAGTCGTTTGGGATTCATCTGCGTCAATGCGTACCGTACGTGTGGGTTTATAAGTTGACAATGACGTACTTCGAGCAATTATCAAGCGGAAGCAGATTGATTTTTAATTTACGCCCAATGGCATTTCAGTAAACAACGATTACCCTTAGCTTTCGATACATGCAATTTATTTAGAGGCATTTATAGCCCACTAGCTATCGCCGAGTTCAAAAAACAAAAGTTAGTAGCCTGTATCCTTCCAAACAAATTTCATCGAGATCCGTTCAGCCGTTTAGGCTACAAACACTAACAAGCATCCATCCATACATCCATCTAAACTTTCGCATTTATAATATTAGTAAGATGCATAATAAATAATCTGACTAGCGTAGTAGACATAAATTACCTCAATGCATTTAAACACAAGGTCCTGCATTCCAAATGCTTACAAATGACAGGAAACGGCAAAATGGTAAACAGCAAATTTATCTGGGAAGCAACCCTGATTCGACCCTATAGTATCATTTATGCTCATTGCTCACGGATATCAAATAGACGATAGATTCACAGAGATAGACTAAAAATTCATGTGAATATTAATGCGAAATAGTATAACGCAATTATAATTGCACCTCTGCTATTGATGAGTTATGCGTTATACTGCAGTTTGTAAACAACAGTTATGTTGATGCGTCGCATATGTCGACTGCTACGGTACTGACATTCCATCAGGCGCTCTCATAAACTATGTTTGCGGTTCAATATTATGAATCCGTAACAATACATATTTATACAAAGTATATCAATAAAAAAGCCATAAACAATTTTAATGATCGGCATGAATTGATATCGCAGTAAAAACCAGATGGAATAAAATCTAGTGGGTAACGACTGAAAAATAGCGCAGTTTGATGGACGCGAAGTAGGCGTCGCGTCGTCTGGCGCGGCCGGCTCTACAGTTTACAATATTAACGCGTATCTGTTATGATATACCAAAGTGAGTTTGCAATTTGAGACATTAACAGCGAGCGGCCGACACAGAAGCCGACCAGTCTCCGCCGTCGCGTCATTGACCGTCTATTTCGGTACTCTATGTCCTTTCTCCAGAAATACCATCTCGAGTAGATTTACACGAAAATTAATAATGTTCGCTCGCCTAAATCACTATCCGAAAAGGACACGTCGAAGGTCTGGTTTATATCAAAAGGAACTATTTTGGATAAATTATGCAGTTATTCCTTGTAACATTGAAATAATGGATTATCGAGAATAAAATATACACCTAAATTTCTGTAATACGAAAATGTTAGCGATTTGCTAATGATTTCATACTGTACTCTTTGTTTTTTTTTTTTTTATTAAAATTCCTATATTTGCAGGAAGGTCACTTCCATATCCTAATGACACACAATGGCATTTCCGACTGTAATCCTGTTTACATAAATTGTTACTTGCATGTACTTTATTAACTAAAGTACTACATAACTCGATTGTTTTAAAACGTAAGATTTATTAACAAGTAAAATTTTCCAGTTGCTTTTGTTCTTGTTACAGATTTTTACAGGTCTATAAAAACAATAACTATCAAACATAATATAAGTGTAGTAATCTCATAACGAGATCATAAATTCTGATAAACGTAGTTTCTTTGTTAGAAAAAATGTTATTCAATTTTTATTACAGACAAAGATAAGCTTCGATGTGAGTTTTAAAAACTTTTCTAACAATTATTCGACGTGAAAACACAAATCGGAGCCAAATACATGTAGTCCAATGTTACCAGAATAAAGTGTTAGCTGGACAAATCGCGCTCACTTGGCACCGCCTGAAAACTATCACGTCGCTAAATAAATCACCGTGCGCAGAGAAATTGGACGCGCACTTGATTTATGTATTTGAAATGTTTAAAAATATACCAATATACGAAATTAAGAGATTTATTATATTATTATTTAAAATGTTATAATTGCAAATCGAGCGAATGTAGTCCACTTAGATGCGACATTATAGAAACAAATCAAGTTGTATAAAAAGTTTATTGTTTACTTGTTATCTACTTTTATCGAGAGTATATTTACATTTAAGCAAATGTATGCATTACTTGAATTTAATACATACATTTATGTTAACTAAATGTTTAATTTACATACTAAATAGTAAACGTTTTAAGTAATTATTTTTGTTATTTAAAACATTATTCTTAAACTATAACAGGCCACCTGCTCCAAATCTTTTCAGATTTACTGCAAAGTCATGTTCGAAATCACCAAACTCGGGGCTTTAGACATTGTTTAGCAGTCGATCAAGGTCCAAGATATTTGATAAATGTAAAATACGTATAGGAAAAAAGTAATAATTACCTATGCTATTACTGAATCTGCCAGCGTTCCTCAGGTAAGAGAACAGCTCGCCGCCGCACACGTACTCGAACAGCATGTACAGGCAGGAGTCATCGTGGGTCCACCATCGCCTGACAAACAACATATTACATTAACAGTTCCAATGACACTCACATTTTCTAAATAGGCTTAATAGACATTGCGTTATCCTAAACAAGATCACCTAAAAGTCGTAATTACATAATTTCAAAACTGTTTTTCTAGCCTAATCGAAGCTGCAGAGTACAGGACGACGCAATTTATATAGTTTTTTCTAAATTACAGCTGTCAGATGTAACAAAAACAAAAGTAAATAAAGCAACATCCAGTTAAACTTTGTGTCTAACAAAGCTGTCTACAAGTATGAAATGATATGATGTGACATTGCAACAGTATAGCTGTCAATACGCCAATAAATGTCTGTGGCAAAGCTTGTCACGGACTTGTGCCAGACCGCTGTCAGCGACACGCGACAGTTCTGATAGTCACACTCACACGCTGACCGTACTTTGAAATAACGCCTTCGAATATCACGAACCTAATTGTTGGAAACATTTAGAAATGAAATCATGCCATTTTTAATTTTTAAATACGTAGTCGCAAAGTGCGGCGTCGGAAAAACGCTCATCAAATGTAAATATTACTAACTTGCGTTCGCCAGCGCCTTAGACCGCGTGGAATTAAAAAAAGACAAAAGCAGGTAGCCTATGTGTTCTTCCAGTCTATCCTCTCCATACTTGCCAAATTTCATCAAAATCCTTACAGAAGTTTAAGGTGCAAACTCTAACAAACATCCAGCCATCCATCTAAAATTTCGCATTTATAACATTATGTTAGATGATGTAAGAGCGTGATAGATAGGACAAAATAGTGTTATTTATTAGAACCTTTGATGTTAAAATGTGGTACTTAATACCAACTGAGATAAAATGATAATTATTTTCTATTTATGTATTTCGTGTGAAATAGTTTAGTTATACTTAATTTAACCTTCGTAGTGGTGACGTTTAGTACTGGCAGCTAAAATGTAAAAGAGGTATAAAAAGACCCTTCCGGTCAGAACACTCTCTCTTCCGTGGAGTCAGTGTAGCCAGTGGACTTTCGAGGAGCGGACCATGGGCCTGACCATGGAGAGTTAAGTAACCTATTTTATATTCACTGTAATACCTCTTAATAAATAAATGTAATAACCTTACCATTTGTACAAAGCTATTTTGTATATAAAAGTATATATGGGTTGTTGGACAAGTAATGTCAATCATGACAATTATGTAAATTGCATTTTATAATTTGTATTGGTTAATACTATTTATGAGGTCTCTATAATATTGTGTTGTTTTACTAATTGAATTAATGAATATATGCTTTATAAAGTTGCTTGTTGTTTCTATTCATATCCAGGTTTGCCTCACAAGGAAATGGTTAGCTGTCACTTTCATTTATTAACAGACGTCCATATTTAATATATTCCCATACAACTTCAAATGATTCTTGAAACTAAATTAGATGTTTGACTCTCTAAATTACTGTAGTTGTAGCATTTACTTATTGAATCTGAGTACGATTCTAACAAGCGCGTAGGTGACAAACATTTAGTTTTAATCGTATAGATAGAAGGCAATAATCATTTAATATAAATGATAAGTACCCTAGCTATCATTTTATGACATGTTCGATGGTAGACATAACAAATATACAAAATAGAAATGTTTGGCGTCGCGCCGGCACTTCCTGCGCACTCGGCACACGGCACACCGCACACTACGCACGATTGACGTGACACGTGCCCAGCGCGACATGTTGCAGTCACAACAAACATGGTAGTCTACTAAAATAACACTGCCATGACGCCTATAGAAATTATATCTCCATAATTATCTTTAACAGCGGTAAAGCCCGCTTTAACATCTTCGCACGAAAGGGTCGGCTCGCCCGGTGTAATACCACGACCACACAGAAGACAAGCATGAAATGGTAGCAATTCCGCGTTTCGTCTGATGAGTGTGGTTCCGGTGGCCCAATTTTAGTCCCTTTCCCGTTTCACCCTTTTCTAATAAGGAAAGGATTGGATGGGAAAGTGGATTGGTGGAGGTGACACATAGGAAGGGGAAATAGTATCTTTATGTGCGTCTACTCTTCCGTTGATTTAGGGTAGGCAACACATCTGCAATTGATGATGTCTGTAGGCAGTGGTGGCTTCGCCATTTCGGTGGGCTTAGGTGGCAGCTTGCTCGTTTGCCACCTTATTGTTATACAACACGATAAGAAGAACCCCCTAAATCATTATATTTTTTAAACAAAGTGTAAAACAAAGGCATACTTACAGATTAACGACAAAGGGGTGATTAACTTCAGCGAGTATGTTTTTCTCGTTCATGACATGATCGACTTGCTTGAGGCGAATTACGTCGGCCATGGACAGTATCTTCATCGCCAGGTACTCGTCCGCTGCCTTGTCCCGGCATAAGCACACTCGCCCGAAGGTACCCGTACCTAGAACAAACAGTTTTTCTTATAAACACCACAATTTCTATACAAATTTTTAAGATAGAACTACATATTTATAGCTGTTCAATAAATATTGAACAATATTTATATATTGACAAGGAATTATTTCAAAGATTTGCAGAATTTGTAACATAAATGTTTTCCCCTGTCCTAAAGAAACACCAACCTGTTTATTTTTAAAGATGAGAACACTTAAAATGTTTTTATTGCGATGTAGAGTAGACTAACTGGGGTATTTCATCTTGTGAATCATTTAAGAAAACATATACAAATCAATAGTTCCTGGAAATGCGAATTGAAATATTTGTATCATCTTTTTCCTCTATGCTAATGGCCGATTTCCCAACTACATTTAACCATTCGTTAGTGATATTGGTTCGATAACTTCATAAAATGTGTTTCAGAACTTGAATTTTACTTCATTGAAACTTCGGTCCACCTAACACTAATGAATTACTAGGTAATGATAAATGGACACTTCAACAACCCAGCATCAAGAATGTGAAATGACCGAAACAGCAACATATTATTTAATTCATTGACGAACGAAAGTAAAAGTGAAGACACTCTTCTTCTTATATCTTTTATTGCTCCTCATGTTAAAAGTTTAGAAAATCAAAAATGAAACATATTTTCGGACACTCGCGTACTCTATTACGTCCTTCTACTAAAAATTAACAACTGTACGTCTAAGAGTACGTATCTTGTAATAACAAATAGTCAAGAGCGCCAGCTATCGTTATTTAAAAACCTTAGTTCGATTTAAAAATAATGATACTCATAAACAACTCACGGAAGGGCGAAGGTCTTCAGTTAAAACAACAATCGATTACAAGAGATTATTCGTTCTTAGAAAAACCGATTAAAATATCACTCACTAGAAAATTACTCGCTTGTCGTTATTGTGGAAAACTAACACACTACAATTAATTTTGTTAAAATATAATTATCTCGATGTATTAAATTGAGCTTTCAGAATTTTATTGAAATAAAAGTTATAAGTATCTCTTAGTTGTGAATTATAGCTATATTTGATTTGTGTTTTAATTGAATAATTCATGTCTGATTTATAAATTTACAGTCAATACTTTGGACCGAAATCGTTCAACTAAAACCGCAGTAAAACATTACAAAAACCCCGCAAGTACATTTTCCATTTTCAAAGGTCTTATTATGATTTATTTTATAATCTTTATCGCACTTACTGTCTTAAAATATTTGAATTCAAAACCTTCAATCCATACAGCATGTACGAAACAGTGTATACACAAACCCGTTCATTTCCATTACAAACATAAGCCTCTTGACCTAAACCCAATTAATTTGTTTGTATTTCTAGCAACACTTGTTAATCCGAGGTGGCGTGTGACGCGCGAGGGTTTCGTAAGTCTACAGCGGGTAAATTTATTTCTACGTCCCGTTGCGCAAGCCAGGTGGCCCGCAGCGATCGCCTCACCAACACTGGCGGCAACCGACTTCATATGTCATTTCATAAGACTAATATAAAAGTAATAACTTTAATTAAATTAGCGAACATCCGCTGGTACTGAAAATTTAGTTAATTACATATCCCTTCAAAACTTACAACGCAATAAACATTCGTTACACATGTATATGTATGTACCATTAAAAGAAAACATCAAAACCATAGTGTATTTTTAACAGCAGAGCCACTTGAGAGGGAAAACGTTTCGGTTATAAAGCCTTCACTCAAAAAGGGAATAATATAAATCAAACAACATGATGTGGGCGTTCGTTCAATGACCGCCGGCCACTCAGCACAACCGGACTTTGGATGAGCACATTTCACACGCAAAAAGGCATTGCTTAGAATGTTTCCGCTTGCTGAAGTCGTAAGTAGTCGTAGTCGTACAACGACGTAATAAGAAACAAAATAATTTTTCATAACTTTTATAACTTAGCAAGAAATCATATTACAGTCTTCCATATTAAAATATGTAATGAGGATTGAACAACAATCGGGAGCAAACATGTATATAAACATACATAGAAGCAATACATGATATGGCGAATGTTATTTTTTTTTACATCAATCACCATTTTTAAAAGAACATGATTAGCGCGTGAGCTCATCATCGCTGCCCACGCTACCTAATAACAGTAAAACTGGCTGAATTGGTCTACTGGCTCATATACACTGTGACCAAAAGCAAAGTCGCGTCGGTCACCGGTTCGACCACTTTCACTGATGTAAACATAACGCACTCCGACTGGTTCGCGCCGTTTACGTCACGACGGCACTTCGATTACGCATTACACTTTGATATTTACGTTTTACAAAGAAACAAATAAATTTTAAATGTTCTCTTTTCTCAGTATTTACAAAAGTTCCCAGATTTTTATTGTTTTTAGTTGTTTTAAGCAACAATATCGTGTTTCTGATTTATAGCTGTTAAACCACAATCGAAAAACAATTGCATCGAAAACATGATTTTTGCATGTTAGAATTAGTGAATTTACATACGATCAAAGGCACACTCCTATAGTGACAGTCAGGTAACATATGAAAGAACGTTGAAATGTAGTCAAAAATATTAATCTCAGTTGTGAGTGTTGTTATTCAAAACTTTTTATAACATCTATTTATATCGTAAGTTTTTTTCTAAACATCATAATAAAAACAAAATATTGTCCACAAGCCGCATCCACGCACGGTCGAGCGATTCGACTCAGTTTTATCGCAGTAAATTGTCTCATTATACGAGTATTGTTGACATTGAACGTTAACAATATCAATTTGAATGTCACGAAACCTAATTAAGTCACGTATTTAACACCATAAAAAGTTCGTTCACATTTATATCGGCTCCGGTCGGCGGCGAATTCGTAACGAATATGCAACAAAATGAAATAAATAGTCATGCAAAAATCATGATTACTAGATATAGAAAAAGAAAAATTTGTAATATAAATAAAAAGCCTTCCTGAATTACATTCACAATATGTTTTTTACAGATTAAGTACGTATATATTTGAGTTTTAAAATAACAAATAATACTTATTTAAGAACTATTTTATATCTTTCTTACTATTACGTTTTATTCCATGTTGTAACATCTAATTATGAGCGATGAGTAACTTTACGAGTATAATAAACCCAAATATTTAAAAATACAAGACACGCGTTAACTGCCTGCGATTTATTTTAGTTTCATTTAATACTAAAAGCTCTTTACAACCGAAGCCTTGTTCTACATTTATAATAAATGAAATGGAATTATTAACTCCCAGTTACATAGACAGAGTTGAAGGACACAATGTTGTAAAACCCTAGCCGTTTTAAAATCTTCAAACATTGTTGTAAGGTTTCGGTCACGGCCTGTCTCCTCTAGCAATCATACAACAATGACTTAAATTAAGTAATAAACTAAATCATATAACTCAATGCAATTAAATTTGACTGCTATAGAATCTGACAAATGAAAAAATACGGTTAGTTTCGTAAAGAGTAATGGCTCAGTAGTTAGCGCTTTACTTCGTTGCCAAAGTTATAGAATTGATGTCGAAATTATTTGATTTTTCTCAAGACAGTTTTTTGTTCTGTAAAAAAACTTAAAATGGCATAATGAAATAACATATAGGACATAATAGAACAAATAAATCTAGGAAGTTACTAAACACTCATTATACTAAAGAATTGATTATTAAGATTCAGTACACGGTGTAGTCAAATATTTTACCACATGATTTACTACCGCAGATTGCCAAAAGTTAAAAAGAAAATGTTATGTAAGAAGTCTTAAATTCTTCAACATATTTTACGTGAGTTAAACCAGAAGTTTTGTAAAATATTAAATAATTTTATATTGCTACTTCCACATATAAACTTTTAGTATCCAAGTCTTGGTACGTAAATGTTTTACGTAATACCATTCACATCTAAAGCCCTACTAAATTCCTTGGATAAGAAAGGTGGTCGAACCAAGGTTAAGATATTTGTGATATAGCAAGCTCGCAATGTTGAGACAATTGGAAACAAAGAACCCTGTGTAATGCTACGAAACGTTCAGAAGACCAATTTAAAAAATATATCAGCCAAATTTAGCCAAGCTCTTGGGGGTTTAAGTACAGATAAATAGATTCCTAAATAACAATCTATATTTGCACATGATAAAAGTTATCATATTTACTTAAAGACTTACTTGCTCTCGAATTCAGTAGATTTTGAATTTACTATCTTCACCTTCGGTAAACCTTAGATATAAGTGTAATACATATGTCACCTCAACAAATAAGTAATGCGAAGTCAAAGTTTTGTTTAGCTACTAGATATTTCTTTTGTCACCAAGTTGATTGTACATTCACAGCAATCATCATGAGTTGTCTCATTAAGCGAACAATATTAGTTTCTTTACAGTGCTTCTTTCACCATTAAAAATTCAAGATTTAAAATTTTTTTCATCATTAAAAAGCTACCTTATCTGTGAGTAACATAGACTATATAATTTATGTTTTACGCATTATTCAATTCTACGCGGACGAAGTCGCCAGCAAATGGTAACTAGTAAGTTATATTGCACATCGAACTAAAACATCAAAGATCTAAAGCAGTATAAGATGATTTTTTAATAATTATTGACACGGTATTACCCATTCGGGTGAGATCAAAGCATTATACTCGTATATCTTATTGTTGTAATCTCTGTAGTCCTGACAATGTCAATGGCTGGAGATACTATTTAATACATATGCAGTGTCTCTTATCGACAAAGTTATCGCGTTTGCATACTCGTTTAACCACCAGCCATGGAGACTTATTATTTGCCAGTTACTATTTAAATGTTCCTTCAGTCTACAAGAAATTATTATTATTCTTAAGCTTGGTTAAAAGTCTATTTACAATCGTCCGTATGTTTCACATAAATAATCCTTTACACTAATGATTATTAATTTGCAACATTTATTAATAGTATTCACAAACGGATTGTCAATGACGTATAATGGTTGAATTAATAATAAACAAT